GTTACAATTACATGGGCAAGATAATGAGTACATTTCTTATCAAGCATTGTAGCCTCCTCCTTTGTTTCCCCTTCCCATCCCTTCCCATCCTCTCCCCGCCCCTCCATCCTTCCCCCTCCCTACCAAAGTTGTAAAGTTCGTTTTCGACATAACGTCTTGTACATCTCATTGTTGCAATGGGTCCACCTGTATCCCTATTTAAACAATTTGTTTTTCCCCTTCCCCTCCACAAATTATACGGACATCAAATACAGTGAAAGCAGGGGTTATACAGTGGGGGAGGGACATACAAAGGAACAAAGAAATAATCTTATAAATGTGTTAGAAACAATTGCATGAAAGAAAAATAACATTTGAATACATATCTTAGGGTTCATTTCCCTAACATCACCTTATCTGACCTTTTCAGCTTGACTCAGACATATACTAGATATTGCAAAGAAGGGAAACCATGGGACCTATGTTTCTTTGGGCCTGTCTTACTTCTATTTAGTGAAATTCTTATGCAATGTATATCTCTATGTGTTGTAAAAATAAAGTCTTACTTATTTCAGCTATATTGTGACAAATTTGAGATATATATAGTTTAATTTTTTGTGTATGTTCAAAGTTTGTATTTAATTTGTAACATTTTTTTGAACTTTTCTATTTTTTTACTTCTTTTTTCTTTTGCCAGCCCTGGGGCTTGAACTCAGGACCTGGGCATTGTCCCTGAGCTTCTTTTGCTCAAGGCTAGCACTCTACCACTTGAGCCACAGCACCACTTCTGGCTTGTTCTGTTTATGTGGTACTGAGGAATCAAACCCAGGACTTCATGCATGCTAGGCAAGCACTCTACCACTAAGCCACATTCCCAGTGCAATTTGTAACATTTTTGTTATCCCCTCTAGTAAGAATACAGAAGTGACACCAAGAAGAAGAAAGAAAATTTTAAGAGGGTTTTTTTAGGAATCCGTTTATTTTTGAAATACCAGAGCAACAAAATTTACTTGAGAGTTGCTATTTGTTGGGTATTCTTTTACATGCTAAAAATACACTGGTAGATAAAATTATAGTAGTCAGGAGCATGTACCCTAATGACAAGAGTACAGTAACTAAGTGAACACAAAATTAGATGTTTTAATGTGTGTGTGTGTGTGTGTGTGTGTGTGTGTGTGTGTGTGTACTGAGTCTTCATTCAGGGCCTCATGCTTTTCCTCTTTTTTCCCACGCAAAGCTGGCATTCTTAACATTCCAGCCACACTTCCATTTATCGCTTTTTAGTGTTTAATTGGAAATACGAGTATCACAGACTCTCCTGTCTGTAGGGGCTTTAAACCTTGATCCTCAAACCCTAGCCTCCTGAATAGCTGGGGTAATAGGTGTAAGCCATCAGCACTTGACTTGGCAGCTTAAATTTTTGATACATTGTATAAATGGAAAAAAACCAGAAAGCTATAGAATAACTGAATAAAGAATAGTTGGGCCGGGAGCAGGTGGCTCACACCTGTAATCCTAGCTACTCAGGAGGCTGAGATCTCAGGATCGTGGTTCAAAGCCAGCCCGGGCAGGAAAGTCCGTGAGACCCTTATCTCCGATAAACCACTAGAAAACCGGAAGTGGCATTATGGCTCAAGTGGTAGAGCAGTCACCTTGAGCTGAAGAGCACAGTTACAGTGCCCAAGCCCAGAGTTCAAGCCATACAACCGACAAAAAAATAAATAAATAAGAAGAGTTGGTGGCAGTAATAGTTAGGATGGATGGATTCTAAAGACTAACTTAACTGTCTTCAAATGCTCCTAATTGGCATATAATATTTGGAATATATATAAATGGAGTATACCATGCAAATTAGATACATGTATATAATGTGCAATGACTAAATCAAGGAAACTAGCATTTCTACCTCCTGATATTTAACATTTCCATGTGTTAGGAATCTTCAATTATTGTTGATCATTGTTACCATATGTGGTATAGAGCACTTAGATGAATCATTGCTATCTATATTTCAGGACCCATTACCTCTCTATCTCTCCATTTACATACCTTTCTTACTGACCATTATTCTATTATCTCCTTTACTGAAATCAACATTTTTTTTGACAATGTATTTTTTTTGTTGGTCATGGGGCTTGAACTCTGGGCCTGAACGCTGTCCCTCAGCTTTTCAGCTCAAGGCTAGTGCTCTACCACTTGAGCTACAGCACCACTTCCGAGATCAACATTTTTATTGTTATATTCAAATAGTTGTACAAAAAGATTTCTGTTTCATCTATCCATTTATGTTTACAATTGACCAGAGTCACCTTTTCCATCCTTCTCACATTCCATAGATAGTGTTTAAGGCAGTAATATGGAAATCAGTATAGAATTATTCTTTCATAATCATAATTTTACAGAACAGTAATATGATTCTTTCTGCAATACCGTAATCACTATAAACTGAAATGTCTTTGACTCATAAAAAATGTTTCAAGAATAGATTCTGAAATTTCCTCATGCCTTGGTATTATAAAAAGAAATCCACGTTTTTAAAAAAAAAACCCTTAAAAGTGGTGGAGTGGGCTCAAAGGGAGAGGAGTGGACAATGAAGAGTAGAAGAAGGGGAGAACACAGTCAAAAATCCGAGATATAGCCTACCAAATTAAGAAGAGTGAGGGATTGTGGAGGGGAAGGGGAAGGGGGAAAACAAATCGTTTAAATAGGGATACAGGTGGACCCATTGCAACAATGAGATGTACAAGTCGTTATGTCGAAAACAAACTTTACAACTTTGGTGTGTGGGGGGAGGATTAGGTGGGGGGTGGGGGAGGATGGGAAGGGGAAACAAAGGAGGAGGCTACAATGCTTGATAAGAAATGTACTCATTATCTTGCCCATGTACAGTATTTTCACAATAAAAAAAAGAATAGTGAGGGAGGAGGTGGGTAGGGGAGGAATGAGGAAGTATGTTGAAAGGGGTGATATATATAGATATAGATATAGATATATTGTATTCATAAACCTCTTTGTTAAATAGCAACTCTTTTGCACAACTACTTAAGGGTAATTTTTTAAAACTTTCTTCAAAAAATTACATACTGTAATCACTCATAGTCATTAGTACTTAGGACATGTAAGTACATTTAAGACCCAGGCAATGATCAAAAGATAGTAATGTCATGAAATAGAAAATGTACTCCAAATGCATCATCTTGTAACACATTCTCTTAAAAAAGTAAATGAGATTTAGTTATGTCTGTTGGTATATTGGTGTTTAACAATCAGATCTTGCATCCAGGGTCTTAATTCTAAGCAGAGAATTTGGTCTTAAATACATTAACAGCTAATCCATTTTTATAATATACAATGCAGGCATTGGAGGTGTGCCTCAGGAAGGTGGGGCCAGCCAAGATGCAAAAGCATCAGATATGGAGTTTAAGTCCTGATCTTGGGCCAAAAAAAACTCAAACAAAAAACAAAAACAGAAAGAAAGAAATATAGAGACAATAGCCATATATTTGTTATGTGTTCCAAATACATGACTTTGTGAACTGAACACAACACACCAGGAAGTGGATAGTATTCTATCCCTATGTGACATCAAGGAACTGAAGAATATTGAGATCAAGTAATTGCCCAAATTCCCACATCTAGTAGATGTGGGGAGAGCAAACACAGGCTGTTTGGCCCCATGGTCCACTTACCTATATTCCTATAGAGAAGAAAGTTGATTGCTTGGTTTTCATAGTAAATACCAGTAGAAATTCTCATCCTACTGATTTCTTTTTTTAAAAAAATGGTGAAATAACGAGCATGATCATCAAGAGAATGTAGGAGGGAGAAAAGAAATTGCTCAAGTCAAGGAGAGAGGAAATGAATGAGTTATTTAGGAGGACAAGTCGTAATGAATGGCACAGAAAAATACTCAAGGATACTATTTTTTTTTTCACTGCCTGTTTGTTCTTTTCTATCCACTAAAAGCAGAATCCTTAAAGAAAGATACTGTTTCTATTCATGATGGTCCTAGATATAGAGATGCTCAATAAATATTTGTGAGCTCCTTGAGTAAAGGATGGGAAAGTCTCCACTTTGTCACCTTTTGGGGTATGGATTTCCAGCAGAGTTCATACTTCACACCATAGAAAGCATGAAAATAGCAACACCACAGACAGATAAAATAATTTTTTTCCGTTTATTCTACCTGCCTTTAAATTTTTGATGCTACATCTTTTTTTCATTTGAAAGAACTACAAAAGGCAAATTATTTGCAGGGATTACAAAGTCAACCTATCACACAATTGTACTTTCACCTTAAGGAGAGCTACTGAAATAGGTGTTTTATAGTTGCCTTGAAGGCAATATTTTTGATGAAAAAGGAAATAAACAAAGAACAATAAGATGGATATAATGATTTATATAAGAAAATGTAATTTAGAAATTATTCTCCCCCCAACAAGGGAAGTGATAACAATGATCAACAAGAAATGTACTCATTGCCTTACTCGTGTAACTGTAATCCCGCTGTACAGCATCTTTACAATACAATAAAATTTTTAAAAAAGAAATTATTCTTGGGTGGGCAACTGTAAGCCGTTGAATTCAATATGCATTATGTCCAAATGAACTCTGCAACTTGAAGATAAGCATGGGCCGGAAGAATGAAGGAGAAAGCAACATACATTGTAGATACAGCCTGATTTATAGAAGTGTAACCGTCAGTACAATTATTTCATCATTAGAGGAAAGACAAGAGATCATTCTTTATTACTAACACATTTTGGATCTAAACTCAACTGGTTCGATTCACCTGGCTTATCAAAGATGAATAATATTAACTAGTGAATGATTTATTTTCTCTAGGTTTCAGTTTCTTAATCTATGAATGGAGAGAATTCATCTAGATCAACCTGTGACTGCTCTCCTCTCTCCCAACATCTGACTTTATGAGGTACATAGAAAAAAATAAATAAAAATGCAAATTATTTGTCTCCCACATTCCAGCTTAATAAGGTAAAATATAATTTATTTAATATAATGTATTTGATAGATCCTGCATACTTGTTCTCATACTTACAGAATGTTTACTTCCTGTTAATTATGAAAAAAACAAACTAATTCTGATCATAATTATAAGATTTAATTAAAGCTAGTTGATTACTAAAAATAGTGTTTGGGCCTTATTTCTTTTCTTTCTGTCTTCTGAGTTAGCTAAATAGATAAATAATCAAATAGTGCTCTTGATATAATGATATATAGATATTTGTATTTTGTTACATAAGAAAATGATCCATTTGCCATCATTTAAAAGAAAAAGAGGATCTTGATGCAATAGATAAGATATTCAATTTCATAATTACTTTTCTTTCAGAGTCCAGTCTTGGAGATGATCCAATCATGATAAGAAGACACTCGTGTATAGACACCTGGTTTATTCTTTTTAGCACATCCTTCACCCCAGCTTACGATTCCAACAACGTGCCAGATTTTCCTGGAGTCAATATAAGCTAATGGTCCACCGGAATCATTCTAGAAGAGAACAAGTATTCCTTATCTTTTTATAAAGTTTTCCTTTTGCCTCTGTTTTGGAATTTAGCCCCTGGGTAGCGAAACCAAATCATTTTCTTTTAGGATTCTGGAACAATTGGCATTAGCAAAAACTCAGGATCATACAAACCACCATATATTACCCTCAGCTACCAAATATTGCATTGGGTAGACCAGAATTTGACTTAAGGGTTAGTCTTAAGCTGGGTGCTGGAGGCTCATGCCTGTAATCCTAGCTACAAGGGAGGCTGAGATCTGAGGATCACAGTTCAAAGCTAGTCGGGACAGGATCAAAGTTACCACTTTGAGCACTAGCCTTGAGCAGAAAAGCTCAGGGACAGCTCCCAGGCCCCAAGCTCAAGCCTCACAACTGACAAATTTTTAAAAAATAGAGTCAGACTTAAAACAAGGAGAAGGCAACTCAGTGCTGTGAACTTGACAGTGTGTTTGTCTCCGTGAAATCCCTGGGGATATGAACGCAAGCTCAACTTTCCACCGTCTCTCTGGAGGAGGCTGCGATGCCTCCATCTGCAGGCTTCCCAAAACAAAGGACTGTTTACTTTTATAAATGTCTAAGTACTTTAATTTGTGAGGGTCTTCTTTTTATTTTTTTTCCTTTTGGTGGTACTGAGATTTGAACTGAGAACCCTGTACTTACTAGACAAACATTCCATCACTTGTGGTATCATAATTATTTGTGAGGATTCTTACACTGAATACTTTTTGTTGGTAGAAATTAAGCTTATTCCATGAAAGAAGGATTTATGTTTATCCCAAGCATCTAGACTGTACATAGGACACATACATAGAACTGATCATTTTCAAGTGGATTTCTCTATCCGGATTAAAAATAATAAATAGTGGAAATCAGTAGTACATAAAGATATGTTAACAAAAACTCCCCGTTAATTAGCACTTTGGGAGAAAACATTTGAGTAATAGCTGCATGTACCTGGCAGGCATCAGCTTCTCCTGACAAGTATCCAGCACATAGCATGGTGTCTAGCACCAAGCCAGATAACACATGTGGGGCATTGCAAATTTCATTGTCAATAATCTTCAAAGGAGCTTCTTGGAGTATCACTGGTCGAGGACCTGAAGGGAAGAAAGGTTTGCATTACAGAAATCTCAGCCATATTGGTTGCAATAAAGAACATTTGGCCCAAAATGGGGCTGTGGCACAAGTGGTACAGTACTAGCCTTAAGCTAAAAGCTCAGGGACAGTGCCCAGGCCCTAAGTTCAAGTCCCAGGACTGGCCCAGAAAAAAATTTAAAAAGCCATTTGGCATCACGTAGATTTTTTAAATTACCAAGATCCAGAAGAAACCCAGGATGCACTCACTAGTTCTTTTCAGATGTATATTATTATTGACTGCCTCATACATAATGATTTTTCCCAATTCTATTGCTAGAGATATTTCAGAAATTGAAGATAAGCCTTTGTGTCCTTGCCACTGCCTTGATTATCTTTTTTAAACAATGTTTACTGATTAATGGATTGCACAAGGGAATGACTAATTTTTGGATTGTTTAAGCTTCTATGATTTTCATTTGCTTGTTTTCGTTGGTCTGGACTTTCCTTTCCAGGCTGGCTTGAACTATGATCCTCAGATCTTGGCCTCCTCAGTAGCTAGGATTACAGGTATGTGCTACCAGGGCCTAGCTAGCTTCTCAGTTTTGATGGGAAAATTTACCATTCATAGAAAGTGCTCCCCATCCTGTTACCACAACTTTGTCCTGTTCGGAGAGCTTCATGCTGGCTTCAGGAAGGCAAATCTTCCTAATATACTTTGTAAAAGACACTTCGTTAGCCAGTTCCACAAGTGCAATATCATTGTGAACCCCAGCAGATTTAAAATGTTCATGTAAAATGATCCTCCGTACTTTGTGTGTAATATATGGTTTATTTACTACAAGTCCAAAGTTGACAGTCCAATCTTTTAAACTTGTTTTCCTAGAAGACACAATTTAATTTAGATATATTCAGTTTTCTCAACAGTCAAGATCTCTTACCTTGAAGGCATGAAGTTCTCAAATGACACTACACAGCATTTAAAGTCTTATTAAAAAGTATTTCTCAACCCTAAAGATGTTATAAGTTTGCAGTTTATAGAAAGAATGCTCAATCCCTCCACTCACTGGGGATTTTCCCAGTGAGAGTCGTTGATAGATGTTTCCTGTGCAAAGTTAATTCCACTTAGGCTTGTGGGCACAAAACGTTGCACATCTTTCTCATTCAATGCATCTTCAACTGTAATTTAGATTTCCTGATTAGCTCCACTTTCTCACAGAAACTCTCTAATTTAAGGCTATAACCACTCTGTATGTTTTCACGTCTCCCTCAAAGTTTCAGATGTCTTTTTTTTTTTTTTTTTTTTTTTTGTCAGTGATGGGGTTTGGACTCTGGGCCTGGGTGCTGTCCCCAAGCTCTTCTGCTCAAGGATAGTGCTTTACCACTTGAGCCACAGTGCCACTTCCAGTTTTCTAGTCGTTAATTGGAGAAAAGAGTTGCACAGACTTTCCTGTCTGGGCTGGCTTTGAACTGTAATCCTCAGATTTCAGCCTCCTAAGTAGCTAGGATTACAGGTGTGAGCCACCAGCTCCAACCATTTTTTTTTCAGGTGCCATTTTTTTTTCTTAAAACTTCAAAACTTTCATGCTCTGTCTCTCATTCTCAAACCTTCAATGAATCCATGATTCAACAACAGTGGTTCTTTCTCTTCATTTCCTTCGAGTCAATTCAGGTTCCACTGCAGAGATTTATGTTTCATAAACCCACCGAGTTGTTAAAGGTTCTACACTTTTAAAAAGTTCCCATGTAGTTCATGATCATGAGCTACTTTTTGAAAAAGTACAGTCCTGTGAATGTAGTTTGCAAAATTATGTTACTTTCCTAAGTTTCTTATTCATTCTTCAGAGTTGTCCAAATCAATGTAACTAAAATTTCAAAACACATTTTCTAATATTTCATTTTACAAAATCATTTCTCCTTTGTTTATGATCTGAAGAACACAACTCATGCTGTTCCCTTTCCACACATTTAAAGAAGGAAGTTTTCTAAACTAGAAATACATGTGATGCCTTCTCATCCACCCACCCTTATCGATCAAATATTATATTCAAGTCAAATCTTATATCTTTATAGCACAGACAGATAAACTATCTTTTACTTTCCATAGTTCTTACTGTGAGTCGCATGTGGGATTTTACTACATACCTGCTGCCTTCTATTCTTAGTATATAATGTTTTTGCTTTAACATATATTTTTTTCTTCAGTGAGACTGAAAATTCCTAAAGGGCAAGACAAATGAGCTCCTGGTAATTTATATCAGATGTACCAGTGTATGTATTCAATTTCTATCACGTAAGAGCTGTATGGTTTTTGGCAAGTTAACTAGGCCAATTTTTCTGAGCTTTTATTTCCTCATCTTTATATCGGTCAAGTCATAAGATAGTAATCACTGTGTTTATTGTTCTAATTATTGTTGAGAATTATTGTGACTATGAAATAATATAAGTAAAATATTTAAAACCCAGCCAAAGCAGCTATTGGGGCAAGTGTGACATTTTTCTGCTCAATTCCTTCCTCCTCTGTTCAAAGTTAAATACTTTTCTTGTCATTTAGTTATCCAGGAAATAATCAATTTTGTATGTTTATAAACTTTGTTTTGTCTTGGTGATCCCTCAAACATTTAGGTTAGCCCACGTACGTTACTCAGAATAAACCTGTACCCCAAATCCTACATTTCATCAAATTTTTAACTTACTTAACAAAGCAGTGAGCAGCAGACAGTAACCACCTGCTGCTGATCAGTGAGGCTCCACAGAAGTGTGTGCCCCTCCATTGTATGCTGGCCATCCATGGCCATGCCCCTTCTTGAGCATTTTTCCCATTCACAACCCGGTTGCCAGTTGCAATGCTGTTGACCACTGGTCTTCCACAACCTAGAGAAAAGATTTGTTATCTTTGGATATGCTTAAGAAATGTTACCTAAAAGCATTAATTGAAACACTTCTTCTAAGTGACTCAGCTCCTTTCTGCCATGTGCTGGAACATGACTGTTCCTTCTATCTTGCCTGAGAGACTCTGATTTACTCTTTTCCAGTCTTAACCATACTTTAACCATTGCCTTTTATTATACCTATGGGTTAAATTGCAAAGTTCTCTGCAGAATTTTGTCAAGAAGTAGATGTACTTTGCGTGCAACATAATACCCCAGAGAGAATTTATTTTCCAAGGTAGAATTGTATTTATAATGGAATAAATATTTGATTTATTTCATCTGTTACATTTTCTTTTATTCAAAATTATCCTTTTTCACTTAAGTCTTTTTAATTTTGTTCTTTACATATGATAGCCTCTACTCATAATTCCATTATTTAGAATTCGTTCTCATTTCACCCTTTGTATCAATCTTTATGAATATTAAAGTCAGTCCAATGGTTTCCAAAGGATCTCCAGATTTATATCTGGCATATCCAGTAATTTTGAGTTTCTTTTTTTTTTTCTTTTGTCGGTCGTGGGCCTTGAACTCTGGGCCTTAGCTCTGTCCCTCAGCTCTTCAGCTCAAGGCTAGCGCCTTACCACTTGAGCCACAGCACCACTTCCTCCAGTAATTTTGAAAGAGTAATGTAAACTTCCACATTAAGATCTTTTCATGAAAAACATTTGTAGAAACTTGTGAACATATTAAAATTTACATTAAATTTAAATTTCTTAACTTACAGTTGTTGACAAGCATGTCAGACTTAAACTTGCTGATTTCTGAAAGTGAGAAATTGGTAAAAAAAAAAAAAAATTTTTGTAAAAATATCACCAACAAATTGATTCAAGTTCAAAAGATAAATACTAACTTTAATGGCCCAATTATGCCCAACATTGAACTATTTAGATTTGTAAATGTGTTGGTTATCAAATTCTCTGATTCTTACTTATCAAACATCTCTTCAAATCATCATCATGTGATATAGGAAAAGAGAAAAGGAAATAAAAACAAAGCTCTCCTGTTTGTGATTTGTTTCAAATTAGTTTCTTTGTAATAGAATGTGGCCCATTTTCAGATATGTGCACAGTGCCTTTGAATATATTCATGGTCCTCCACTGCATTTTCATTTTGTCCTTCCTTCTCCAGTCTTCTTGCAAACAATGTGTGGAGGATTTCATTATGTTATTGCTGATGTTGCCACTAGTATTTTAATTGTCATACTTGCAATAAAGCATTCAAAGAAGTTAAAAAGTAGATGCATATATTTGCTGAACGTTATCTACATTTTAAGAAAAAACAATCTTTGCAAATTCCAGAAACTGTTAGTTCATTTTCCTCTACTACTTTTCTTAAACAATTATAAACACAGAAATCAGTAAAATACCGATAATTTTAATGGAAGTAGGAACTGCTTTCCAGGTTGCCATGTTGTCTTTCAACATCTGATGTAAGATAGCTCTGATTTTACTCCTCATACTCTGACTCTTTCCTGGAGGGAACTTGAATGTCATATGTAATTGTACCTTCGACCCATTTGGATGAGGCCTAGAAACAACAGAAATGCTCTAAAATGCCACTTCCCGATTCTTTTTGATAGTTTAAGAGTATTTTGAATGGCCAATATGTTCATTACCACATTTATCTCTTTACATTTATTAACAATAATATGCAGATAATAGCCCAATATAAAGTACAAGGGTTCCTAAAAGTTTTCTGGTACTGTTGGTGAAAGAAGTTATGAACTCACAAATTAGAACTTAGAATTTCAGACACATATGAAAAACTGAATCTTAGCCAGTCAATGATTCTCAAAATTTATTACAATGCAATAGACACCAGAGTTTTCATGCAGAATGTTTTTCTGTAATTAATTTTGAAAAAGAGGTCAATCAGGAAGTTGAGAAAGGGCAGGGAAGAATTTTAAAACATACACCCAGCATCTACACTGGAGCTTTTGTTGGCTTCTTGGGCAGAAGTGGTCTGCTCCAACATAAATAAACACTGAGAAGGCTCATTGTAAAAATACAAAATCATAAAAACAATCTTGGTTATGTACGTATTGCGTGCCTATTTATTAACCAGAAAAGAAGCTGATTCAGGAGTTTGAATCCAGGGCCTGGATGCTGTCCTTGAACATTTTTTGTTGTTGTTCAAGGCTAATATTCTACCACTTTGAGCCACAGCTCTGCTTCTGGCTTTTTTGTGGTTAATTGGAGATAAGAGTCTTGCAGACTTTCTTGCCCATGCTGGCTTTGAATGTGAACCTCAGATCTCACCCTCCTGAGTAGCTAAGATGAAGGGCATAAGTCACTGGTTCCTGGCCACGAATCACAATTTTTTTTGGGGGGGGGGGTCTGGTCGTGGGGCCTGAACTCTGCCTGGGCGCTGTCCCTCAGCTCTTCAGCTCAAGGCTAGCGCTCTACCACTTGGGCCACAGCGCCACTTCCGGCTTTTTTCTTTCTGCTTATGCTGAGGAATCGAACCCAGGGCCTCATGCATGCAAGGCATGCGCTCTACCACTGAGCTACCTTCCCAGCCTGACGAATCACAATTTTTAAATATGCAATTCTATGTCCAAATAATTTGACTGGCTGAAAGATAACTGAAGGTGTTTTTTTATAATAGGCAAGTTGGTTAGTTGTTGGACCTTCTGTTTTGCTGTGAGAGTACAAACTCTCTAAACTAGACGCTGACAATTACCAAATTACAATTTGCTGTCAACTTTTATCATGCTTTCCTATACTCCATACATCTCCCCCTGAATCCCTTCCTGCCTCTACCATGACCAAACACATTTCAAACGCATATTTAGGCCAGAAACCCAATTCTGTTTATCTGTCTTATGCTGGTTTTTGTCTAAACTCAGGGCTATATCACCTACTTTCTACTCCATGCAATCTTGAATAAAATTGTACTTACAAAAAATTGATGATCTGGGAGCTGACATATTCTTTAAATATTCTAGAATTCTGAAACACAGATAACATCTGTACAAAAAAAGGAGAAAACAAACAGCCACTATGTATATTAAAATCAAGTTTACAGTGAAGTTGGTAAAGGTAATCTCTGACTTACCTTAGCCTCCATATCTTGGCTCAATTCTGTGTTAGCTTGGGAAGCAGTAGTTTCACAACTGCTATTATATGTGACTCCAGAAATGTGAAAATCACCTTGGTAATAATACATTTTTCCTGTGAAATGAAGACAACATCACAGTTTCAAAACAGAAAGTGGTCTCAGAAAAGTAGTAATTAACTCAAATTTTGAAATAACCTGAGAGAGAGAATGAAGGAAGGGATAACACTGTACGAAAGAAAATGTACTTATTACCTGACTTATGTAACTGTAATCCCTCTATACATCACCTTTATACTAATAATAACAATAATAATAATGATAATAATAATGTAAATTTCAAAAAAGAAAGGGGTAACAAGTTTGACAAGAAATGTACTTACTACCTTACTTATGTAACTGTAACTCCTCTGTATCTCACCTTAACAATAAAAAAAGGAAAAGAAAAAGAAAAAATAAACTATTGTTTATTTCAACTATACATAAAATATTTATATATATTTCCTGATCAAGCCTGTAAACCTGACAGTTCAGGAGGCTGAGATCTAAAGACTGTGGTTTACAGCTGGCCTGGTCAATAAAGTCCATGAGATTCTTACCTCCGATTAACTACCAAAAAGCCAGAAGTGAAGGAAGTGGAGCTATGGTTCAAGAGGTAGTGTTTGTTCGCCTTGAGCAAGAAAAGTTTAGGATCAGTGCCCAGGCCCTGGATTTCAAGCCCCAAGTCCAGCACACACAATTAATGATAATAATAATGATAATAATAATAATAGAGAAAAAGAAGGGAAATGAAGAGTGACTCAGCAACCACACAGCATTCCCATCTTAGTGATTACTGAAAGGCTCAAGCACAAATTTAAGAGCTTATATATTTGAAAGATAAAAATAAATTGGAAAACCAAACTTTGTAAGTGTACTGTTACTAACAGCAATTTAAAAATATTATATTTGTATAAACATTAAGCTATTTTGACCATATTTAACCACCTACAATTAGGAAACTCATTTCTGGATTATCCGTTGCTACTTGTCCATTATATCTTAATAACCAATAGACTTGAGAAAGAAGAAAAGGGATCTCTACAGTTTGAAGTATATTTACTAAAGGATATAAAGATCCAGCTATAAGACCACAGCACAGCTCCTTTGTTGAAAATTAACATTGCCATCAAAGTATTGAACATTTTAATACTGCCCATATTGCCATATTTAGTGACATTACTTATAAGGAGCATCTGAACAAAATTTGAAAACTTGAGTGCCAAATAATGAAAATATGATGTGGAAATAAAATAGTAAGCAAATATGAAGCAAATGAGAAAACTTCCTAGAAGAAATGTAATATTTATCCTTCTCTATGTTCTAAAGTAAAGGGACATTCACTAATATAGATTAAAGTTGAAACCACATTATCTTGCCTATGTAATTATAACCCCTCTGTACAGTATTTTCACAAATAAAAATAAAAAAATAAAGTTGAAAGCAATAAATACTGACCAACTGCCAGAAAATGTACAAGGAGACCAATAGTTACTCCCAGGATTACCATTGTTCCAATAATACTAAAAATTATCCATAGTGGCCAAGATGTCCTCTGGAAGGATATGTTAGGTCTGTGAAAATGGAAACATAAATGGTTTAAATTAGACAGTAGACATTCCAAATCCACCTAGCTCTTATTCAACTCATGTACCTTGATTTGTAAGTTAAGCATTTGTTACTTTAAATCAGAGACACCTCCAATCAAAGGTAAGAGAGCCTAATAATCATTCACTTAAAAAGTCATATCTGAACACCATGTCAGCTTGGGCTACATGAAGTGGGCAAAAGTAAACAGTCTCTGCCGTCATGTTGCTGAGAAGTTGACTTTTCTTATTTTGTAAAAGTCTAAAGCTGATAGCAAAATATTCAGGGTGGTCCTTTCATATTTAGGAAATTATAGCCATATCATGTAGATGGATATATAACAATTCATAGACTCACTTAAATATAGTAATATGACATCATTTGTAGGTTTAATAAATGTGGAAAATGTTGTCAACTGCAGTAATCCCTGTTATAGATTACTTTCTTTTCTATTTTTCTTGCTTTGGTGTCAGTCCTGGGGCTTGAACTCAGGACCTGGGCACTGTCCCTGAGCTTTTTAGCTCAACAGTAGCACTCTACTATTTGAGACAGCTCCTATTCTGGCTTTTTAAATGGAGATAAGAGTCTCCCTCAATTTTCCTGCCCAGGCTAGCTTTGAAGTGTGATTCTCCTATCTCAGCCTCCTGAGTAGCTAGGATTACAGACAGGAGCCACCAGCTCGAAGTCTCTTTTCTATTTCTCTTTTCTATTTACTCAGCTATATTTTACTCAGCTAGCTTTTGGATGTTGGACTATGCATATGCAATATAAATTGTAGCATATTTTGTTGTTTTATCATTAACACTGAACAATTAAATAAAACAGTATCAGAAAAAAATGTGACTTATTCTATCTCTACAGATAGAATAGCTTATGGTTATGAATAGATGTTATGGATACATTGAACATAGTTTATACAAGGTTTGGACTCCAATTATTTTTCATAGCTTGAAAAACATGATGCCATGTAATTTGCCCATTTAAAAAAGGATATATAGCCTTTTTTTTTTAACCTTTCAAACAAGTGCAGGTGTTTCCTCAATTTGCATCCTGTATCACCCTGAATAAAGTTTTAAAATAGAAGTCTACAATCCAGGATATATTCTTCGCTGTTAATAAATTAATATTTCTGCTTTCTTCCTCTCTAAAACAGATAGGTAAGGTATTTTCTTTTTTGTTTTTGTTCTTCCCTGTTTTTTACATTACTTAAAACCACAACAGCATGACTCCACCTAGTTTTATTTCCTCTTCACTATGTCCTCTGTTCTTAATCCTACCTCTCCCTTATACCTGTCGCTTTTAATGATGTGTTATTATTTCCCAGAAACATTATTCGTCAAAGCTCTCCTAAGAAACTCCCTAACTCATAGTCCACTTCTGCTTTCATAGCGGAATTCTGTTTAATCACATTCTCCAAGAGAAAAATGCCAGGAAAGATGTGTCTTCTACAATGTTTATTTACTAATATTTGGTAACACATTTTCTCTAATGACTATAAAATATGTATTATGATAGGTCTCAAGTTTATTTAGGATTAGTCACTTCACCTAGTGCAGCAGCTTTGTCTTTCTGAGCTCCATCTGCGTATTAGTCAAATGTTAGGTAGTCTAAATAATGTCTTTAAATAAAATGATTTCTATATTAATAATCACTTACTTCACAGATCAGAAGAAAATATTTTCCTAAAGCCACCTTTGGATGCTGTAAGAAACTGTATCTTATTTAATGGCGTGTAAATCAAATTGTAACAACTAAAAAGTATGTTTTTGTGTGCTGTATGGTTTCCTTGCTAAAGAACCACCAGAAAATGGTTATGAAGAAATCCAAAGTAGAAAGTGGCATCTGTCATGGACACTCAGGGTAAAATTATAAGTGAAGTTGATGCTTGAATATTGTGAATACTGTATTTACTGTAACTTTTGCAATCAGTAGATTGCATAGAATTGATAAAATTTTTCTCCTTTACATGCCTGTTCTCTTCTTGCCAAAATAACAAAGGAATTTCCTGTATCTAACAGATCACAGCAGGTTGGAAGGGATGGGTAAGAATGTTAAAAGGAATGACATTGATCCAGACACACTGTCTTCATAAACTGCTTTTTGGATTGGCAGCTCCTTTGTACAACTATTTAAAGATAATTAAAAATATACTTTTTAAATAAATTTAGAAAAAGATTGCAGTGATTTATGATTAACTCAATCTTTCTTAGAGTAAAGGTAATACATAGATTCTGGGAATAATAGATGAAGTTTTGATATTCTAAACATAAATAATTCTATTCATGAAATAATTTACTTTTTCGCTTACAAAATTCACATGCAATCACACTTTTCAGAAACTTGCACTTCAAGATGAATTGCTTATTTGACAGAAGGAATTGTTACAAACAATTTTCTATCAATTCAAACTAATCCACATGTTTTATAAAACTAAAATTGATTCACTTTTGGTCTGAACCTACTCCAAATAAGATTCCATTGTTATTTTGGCACAATTAACCTTATTCAACATGTAGTAATATTACTGATTGCAAAAGTTACAGTAAATACAGTATTCACAATATTCAAACATCAACTTCATTTATAATTTTACCGAGTGTCCATGACAGGTGCCACCTCCTACTTTGGATTTTTTCATAACCATTTTCTGGTGGTTCTTTAGCGGTGAAACCATACAGCACACAAAAGCATACTTTTTAGCTGTTACAATTTGATTTACAAGCCATTTAAATAAGATACACATAAATTCTGCTATATGAATGGAGAGTGTTAAAGCATGTGTCTAATATAAAATTCCCCAGAGATTATACAATAAGCAACCCTACTTCCTGTCCATTGAGCTTTTCAGTCAGTAGAATGAAAGCTGGAACAGAAAGCAGAGAAACATATTAACTGTCTTCTACCTCCATTTTCTCCTGGGATTCTGGGCAGCAAAAATATCCTACAAAAGGAAGCCATCTGGAAATTTGTGATGTTTGAGAAACACCTAAATTTTACCAGCTGCTAATTCAAGATATATTGCAAAATACATTTTCCTATTTTTACAAAATTTTTATTTATTTACTTATAAGAAAAAATACCACACACAATTCTGTCATTCTATTAATTCTTTTATATCATAATGTCCTTTATTGGTGAACCATGAAAAATAATGCTATGTCTTATTTCCGTAAGGCTTCAAGTCAATTGTAAGTTTATATTCTTTTCCTATAAACAAAATCTTGCTAAATTCGGTTTTCCTAACTTTTATTTTATTTTTTTACTTTTTGAAAAATTTTCAGGAACTTTAACAACCTTTAGACATCAAACAGTAGATAGGTTGACAGGGCCTAGAAAAAAAAATTAAATTATAAAAAGCAACAATTGAAAAACCTAGAAGATAATTCTTGTCTCCTAGTTAGATTTTTTCATATCTCACCTCCCAAATAAAATCCCATTTACCTGTACATAATGTTCTGACTGTTGAGGTGATATCAAGGATAATGTGGTGAAGATGATGAGGCTGGTTATAGTGGTGACAGAGATAGGAACCTTCTGGTATAGTATTTGATTTATGTGTTGAATCCAGTATTGGTTGGCTGGATTTTTTTCTGGGCTGGGTGAAATGTAAAGAACAGGTAAGATAAAACTTGTTTGACTTGTGCTCATGACAGTAACATCTTCAGTGCTTTCGAGACAGGAGTCACACAAGGAAGGACAATTTTTCTTGATTTACTAGTAAGAAAAATAATAATAATAGCCCAGCATGGATTTGTCATCCAAGAGGTACACCCAAGAAATAGCTTTGTGATAAATAAAGATAATCCTAACCCTGTGTTTAACCAATTCTATTAGTCTGGCTTGTTCTTCCTCAATAAAAATCACCAGGAAGAAATTCTGGGCAAATGACTTTTGACAATATATGAATTTTAATGTAACTAACCTGCCATCATTCTACTACAAATGGAATTCTATTTAACTGTGATTTCTCTTTGTTTTATCTGAGAATAAATATTACTTTACATATTTGAGAGAAATTTGGATTTTTCATTTCTGAGATTTGCTTATAAGCTTATCCTGTTTTACCATTAGGTTATTAATGTTTTTATCCTTATTTATATATTGTGGATATTATCAGCTATGTTCATCTATTTAATAATCTCAGAGAACATATACAATTCTTAGGATATAGCTTGACATTTTATCATTTAATGAGATCTTTTCACCTACAGGAATTATTTTATTCTCATATTCTTACTGGTGTAATGGATCATTATCTTTCTTTTTGTGTTTTATGTGAAGCATAAAATATTAAGAATTTTAATATTAATTTCTTTAAAATACTTTGTGGTGTTTTATCTAAAATGTATTAGCTCTTTTTAAAATATATTTTATTGAGATTAGATGATTATATAAATTTCACATATTTCACAGTATTGTGAAATAGCGACACTCAGTTAAAGTCACCAACACACTTCAACCTTCACAAGGTCAATTGTCACCATCATGGCCCATAAAGTTTGTGAAGGCTATGAGCTCTGAAATACAACCATTTCTTCCACATCCGGTGACATTTACATTTCTTTCCTTTTGCTTAGTGTAAGCTGTTCCCTCTTTCCTTCTCATTCCCTCCCTCCCATCGCTGCCTTTGAGTTGCTTAGTTCATTTTCATCAGTGTCCAGTGCAGCTGATGGGCCTCTCTGATTCTGTGTCCTCCTCCTACCTTCCCTCAGATGTTCTATTAGCTCCTTTTTATTCAGATATTTATAAAGCTTCAAGAATTATTGTACTGACATGAAATAACTTAATTTCATGCTTTAAATTTCTTACTATTCATTTCTTATGAATAGCTGACTCCCTTACACCTATTACTAGAGCCGATCCTTTATCCAGTGGTGTGTGAGGCCTCCTTTGTCATGTCCAAAGCAGCCTCCATTCCTTAGTTCTTCGTCCTGTCACGTTGGCCTACTTAGCTTTCATTTGTCAGTGCTACATAGTTTTAATAATTCCTGTAGACCAGATGTTGCCAACTATTTTCTGGAAGGAGATGGATATCAAATGTTTGAGGCTCTGCAGGTCATATTGTCTCTATAGTATGGTTCCATTCTATAGCAAGGTTGCCCAGAAACATCTACTATAAACAGTCATGTAAAAATGCCAAGTAGGAGGCTGAAGCAGGAAGATGGTGAATTTGAACATGGTCAGGGCAAAGTTTGCTAAACTGTACCTCAAAAACATAACAAGA